GGCTGTTGATCAAGTCCCAGTGCTGTATCTGGTGTTTGTCGCAACAAAAAGCTCTGAAAGCTACGGAGCCCCAGAAATGACATGAGAGAAAAAGAGATACAGCGAGCACACAAAATGATAATTTGTTCCAACAAAATATTACTTTGTTCCTAATAGATACTAGTTTGTTAGCACAAAATATTCATTTGTTCCCATAAAATATTAATTTGTTCCCAATAAATACTAATTTGTTCACACAAAATGTTAATTTTTTTTATAATTTTTGTCGCCAGACGATATATATAACGTGTATATAATAAATACTAGTTTGTTCACACAAAAGGAAAATTTGTTCCCACAGAATATTAATAGTTTCCCACAAAATATTAATTTGTTCCCAGTAAATACTAATTTGTTCACACAAACTGAAAATTTGTTCCCAAAAAATATAAATTTGTTCATTTGTTCCCACAATTTTTTTTTTTTCCAAAGAAATACAAATTTTTGGCTAGACTATAACGTGTGCACAAAATATTAAAGCACAATCTTTCTACACACAGCGCACCTTTCCAAAGGAATAAAACGTGATGGACAGAAATAGCCTGATCGAGTTTTATTTCAGACTTTCCCTAAATCCGCCCCTGCAAATATAACTGCAAAGCTCTAGACTGGATTTGATGTTAATACTTCAGAAAGAGAAAGATCAAAGGAAAGAACAGGTCCTCTATTTTTGAGGAAAATATGAAAATTAAAAGATTAATTCAGCCAAAAGTGGTGACCTGGAAATGGGTTTGGTTCTATCTACAAATGAAAGATTTCATCATATTTACTTGTTGCGTTTCTGACCCGATTCTCCATCTTTACCGGTAGGTGGCGCCAGTTCGCCGTGTGGATATTTTACACCCCAGAAGAAGAAGCAAAAAAAAAAAAGAAGCTCCAGCTACAGACACAGGCCGCCATTCGGTCCCTCCGGTGGTTTCACTGGTCATCCCGCTGGGTTGTCTTGTTTAATCCCGGTAAAGTCAGGCGGTCCCTCAGTTTCCAGCGCCGGAGAGAGCAGGACGTCACAGTCCCCGTCATGGCGGCCGACCGGCGCGAGGACAAAGGTGGGCCGCTAGCTCTTAGCATTGCAACAACAATGACGTATTTGTTGACAATACCTGCTTGGAAAAGAAAAAAAAAAAAAAACAGAAACCTACAAAATACCCAAGAGATATTGGACATGTATATCTGATATATTTCTGTTAATAATCTGATGTTTAACACTCGCGAAGCTAAAGCTGCTAGCCACTAAGGAAACGGCTAGCAGCTAATGCTAACGCTGCCACGTCTTTGTTCCAGATTATTGACCAACTCGTTTGATCCATAGTCGACTGTTTACAAATTAATAATTATCTTTCCTGTTTAAAATTATTAAGATTAGCTGAGATCCTTGATTAACTGTGATAAAGTTGATTAATAATCTCAATCAGCTGCTTTTTAGACGGAGAATACTTTATATTGGGGTCGTTTTGATTTTGTTTTTTAGTGTATGCTGGAGACTGCGCATAAAGTTAAAACGGAACCAAGCATCGCAATTTGAAAATAAAAATAGCAGCTAATATAGACGGACTTTTTTCCCTATTTACATCTGTTTTCATGTCATAACTCTTGCAGAATGCTCGGAACCATGAGAAAAATCCCCCATTTGGGATTTCTAAAAAATTCACATCAGTAACAGTTGAATGAGACTCCTGAAAGAAATATAAATCAGAATTTACAGATGGAAACAAAGCTTTCATTTTTAACATATTATGAATCCTCCTGGCAAGATTTAACCTTTAAAGTTGTAGGGAACTAATATTTAAATGTCAAATCATTCTGGCTTAAAAATGTACTGTTTATCAGACCATATTGTCCCAAAATTAAGAAGTTTTCTATTTTGAAAAAAAATCCTGTCTAAAAATCTGTTG